GAAGAAGCAAACATGGCGACGGTTTGTGCGATTGCTTTGGTGGCTCCGGTGTTGAGTGTCTTCAACGTCCTCGTGAGAAGGTTCCCCTGCCCTTCGAAGTTATTGCAAGCACCACGAAAGATGTGGAATCATCGTCTCAACTACAAATAAGCAGGCCTTCACGAGTAACAACGGCGCCGAGCAGGCGCTCGGCACAGTTGTGTCAGGCTCACGCAGCCAGCGGCACGGTTGTGTTGGTTGTGTCGTCAGATGTTCAACAACGCCGAGGTATTTTCATTTATCATTTGGAATGGCTTCAAGAGTGGGAAATTAATCTATTTCGCGGATTGTTAACGCCGAGGCGAGTGCCCTCCGTTGCAGTGCCGTCGTCGCGCAAAGTGCAGAGAAAACCGGGTGGCGATGGCGGCGGTGCTCTTTGATCTTGCGCCGTCGGGTTCATGAAGTCCGGAGTAAACGTACGTACGTGCGTCTGCTGGATCGGTGTTTTGGACTTCCTCAAAACTCTTTCTCACGCGCATTTTCCTTGTGAAGCTTAGTAGCTCATAACACCTCATCGTCGACTGCGCTCATTTGACTACGTCGGACGAGCCTGCGTGATGTGAATTTCACTGCCTAAGATCCTTGGTGTGCTGTAACGAGGGCTAATAAAATATCACCGCGAACTTCTGAACAAACGAGTCGAAGTTTCGTCTGCTATCATAACTGATCGCCTGTCACAATATTAATCAGTAGCGTTCCTAGACTCGGCCCCCACAGGCACCGTGCTTCGTTGCCCGATAGTAAGTGTCTCCTTGTACCTCGTTGAATTCCAGCTCCCACTTCAAGTAAGTACCATCCTTTAGAACTGGCAATTAATAGTTTCGAACCCAGACGCTCGCAGTGTGTGTGTGTGTGGGGGGACGCTTGCTAACATACTCGGAGCCCTCGTTTACGCCGCTTCGCAGCGGCAGACAAGGCGCCACATCACAAAAGAAAGCTAATCCGAGCTGTCTATGTAACTAGACCCATTCGCTAGTCATTCGATGAAACGTCGTCGTCTCGTTTTTATTCGCTAAAACGGCGTTCGATCAAGTGAACGCCTCCCACTTATTTCGGCTCGGCAGAGCCGCGCTGCCGCAGAAAGGCAAGCAGATCGCGAAAATCGGTCTCAAACGTGCCACGAATGTAATGTCGTATACAAAAAGCCAACAATCAAGCATTTGAAAGCTACAAGAAAGCGGTAGCGAAATATTTACTACGCAATGAGCCCGGACTGAAACGCGGATGTCAAGGGTCAGCAGACACCGAGAACATCTAAGACAAAAAAGGTTTTCCCTTATTTTTCTTGATCGAGATGGGTTCTCGAATGTTCACGACATCTTGCCTGCTGAAGAACGGGCCGCAGAGGCTTCTGGTGAAGACATCTTTCACGATGTGTCGGTGCATTCGGACAGCCTGCCGCATCCAGCTACCCAAAGCAACGCCGCCAACGCAGCCCCCCCTCCCTGCCTGCCAGTTCTTTCCGCGTGGTGGCGCGAGCGTAGATAAACATGGCGGCACCCTGGAATTGGCGCGGACACTGGTCTATACTCGGCGATAACTTTCCGCGGCAATGCAGTGGAGAGGAGAAGAGCTCACGCACAGCCTTATTCAGCGCCCAAAATGGGAGAGGAAACGCGTGCCTGTACCCTCCACTGCACTGCCAAGAACAGTTGTCGCCGAGTATAGTTGAGCTATTCTCGGTCATTCCTTTCAAGGAGCATTTTTCCGAAACACCGGAACAGTCCACGTTTTTGCGCATTGTCACACAAAGGGCCCGGGTAATTGCTAAGCAGAAGCGTCGCCAGTTGAGGAATGGCGCGAGCTTCCTAAACTGTGTACTTTCCCAACAAACGGGGGGCAATATCTGCTGGTAGGCTTATTCCCGAAGAAACTTCGCAAGGGAAGGCAGCGAAGCATACCGCGAGCCACACCCGCTTTGTTCAAGGACGCACAAAACGTTCTGGGGCTTTCACATGGAATTTGGAATTAACTATTCATTCCGGTCGTTTTTTTTTCACAATGGTCGACGCTTACTGTTTTACCTTGCTTGACGAAATTACAAGCCTGGGAATCTGTTTGTCCTGTCGTCTCAGGTTTTTAAATTACGTTTAACTCATTGGCGATGTGCCCGTCGCCTTGTAGCCTATGAGCCGTTCATTCCTAAGCCGACGCGCTGTCAGCTTAGGGATGAACGGTGAAAGCTACGCGTTTTGTTGGAGCAGTCACACGTCTATCGTTCGCCACGTAACCACGCCCAGGTTCTACCCACTTGCAGAGCCGTATATGTAGAGTTTGGCCATTCGTTGGGAAGTATACACGTTTGCAAGAAAGGCTCCTGTGCGCTGCCATTTTGAGCGATGCTGGCGCCCCATACCGTTTCCGCCATGCTGGGGTGCGCCAGGGGCACGTCATTGGGGTGCGCGATGACAAGATGGTGCCGTTTGCTGCATCGCCGATGGCTTACGTTAGCGGCATACTTACCGTCTCGGAACGCAGGAGGAGGTATCCACACAGAATCGTAGCCCCACATATTGTAGGGCGGGGCATCTTTCAGAATTGGAGCTGACTTTATAACCATCGCGGCCTCTGTTCCTGCATGTTGTGGAAGCCAGAGCTGCCGCGAGCGCAGCCATCGTTGATGCAAAGGCCATGCGACTTTTGGCGCATTCTGAAGAGAGCGCCTTGAGACTTTAGATCTTTTTGAAGATTTTCGATTTGTTACCGCTTTAGGCATTTTATTTAATTGTCCTTGCTATTTCGCTGTCGAAGACGACACGTGTACGTTTTATAATTATTTTTTTTAATTTCTTTTTGCGCTCAGTGGTGTACGCTTCGGCGAGAGACGCTTGGCAACATTGTACGACAACCAGCGAACGTCCTGGCTGGAGAGTAGGTCCGCCTTACCTTGGCGCGCGGTTCGAGGTTAAGCCGGGATCCCACTTGCAAAGGTGTGTAGGAGACAAATCAGGAGGCGCCATTGGCCGAAAGCGGGCTGGGCCTGTTCCAGGGCGTTTTCAGAAATTCGAATGTGACCAACCAGAAGCCGGAAATAATACCCTGGTGGTGGTCGCGAGAAACAAACCTGATATGTGCATCGGAGTAACTCTCGGCGACTGAAAATATGGTGCACGTGATGTTTCAATCACGCTCATCCAAAATGATGGTGGAAGAGTGCGACTAACGGAACGATCGACATAATCCTTACGCCAAGCGCCGAGGGCCAGGAATCTGCCGTCCGAGCGGTTACACTTTGTCCGAGCAAAACACAGTTGAGTGGCGCATTCGTTTCTTACATCTTTCTGAAAGATCATGATCGAAACATCACGCGCACTCTATTTTCAACCACAAAGAGTTACTACACTTCACTCTTACGCTCTTATTAAAACCATGTACGAACATAAACCTTTGATCAGAACTGTTTCTCGCTACTACCACTAGGGGATTTCTTTTCGGCTTCTGGTTGGTCAAGAGAGCATGCCAAGCCCTCTTTCCGAGTCTGGCGCACGCCCTGGCTCTGCCCGTGCCTCCCATTGACCAAACTCTCTATATACACGGCTTCGCCCACGCGCAGAGAAAGGGACAGGTCACGTGAATAAAAAAAGGTGTTTGATTGGTTCTGGTTAGTTTGCAGCTCCCACAGCACTGTCAGCTTAGGGATGAACGAAATATTGTATCGTCGTGATGACGCGACGCTGTGAATCTGTCGTGCCTGGAGTTCGTAAGCCGTTGCCTTCCAGCGATGTCTACACGAGCTTTTTTCCTTCACCTTTCCGGCCCTCCTTTGTGCGTCTGTCCAGCTCTTTGTACAAGGCTTTGCGCTCAGGTGGCCGTCGATTATTTCCTCTCACGCGTTTTCACAGCATTTCACAATGCAAAAAAAAAAAATTCTCTTTCTTAAAACTTGCAAACGAATTTTCTAATTTAAGACAAAAGTAATTTCAAAAGTAATGAGTCATTTCCTCGAAATTACTGCCTGAAAGTAATTCATTACATCACTAGATTACTAGCCTAAAGAAGTTATTCATTACATTAGTCATTACTCCAAAGACTAATTTAATTAGTGTAATTTCATTACAGTAATGTCATTACTGCCATCTCTGGCTTCAGCGAAGGTGCAGTGTTACGCCACCTCAAGTATTTTTATCACCGCGGCAGTGACCACTCATGCAAACCCAGTGACAAAGTGCACGATTACTCCCTTGTTTGTGTTAGGACATCTGAAAATCTTGAAGCAAATCTTGAAAGCACAAACTTAAAACTGAAGAATGTTTTAAATATGTCCTAATTCTCTGAACTCTCCGCGTCGTAATAGCAGCTTTAAAGGCTGGTTCAAACACTCGCGTTCGAGTGTCGCAAAGTACATCGTGCTCTTTCGTTATTGCTTACGACGACGGATTACACTAGCACTATCTAACAGTATTTGCGAATATTTTCAAATTATTTTGTGTGCTTCCTTTATCCACCATAGGCTTTAACAACTTTGTACAATGTTATAACCAGCCATATCTCATAGATGGTACGTATATTCTATCTCGCAAATACTGCGAAACCTCCAGACTCAACTGTATGTACTAGTTCTAGGGTTATTCGCTGGACGTCGTCAGCGCGCCAGTGTGTTTTCTGAGGGCTTGTATTATAGAGAGTTATCAACTGCTCGATTAAGGAGGTCAAGTGGTGTACGGCCGTGTTTACAATAGGAGCAGCGATGAGGTGTCGAAAGCCTTGGTCGTCTGCGAACGTCTCCGCCTTTCCGCCTGCTTTCCTCCTCGCCACGGGGCAATACAGCGCATGCACACTGGTGACCAGTCTCCGAAAAAAAGAGGTCCGCCATTAAATTCAAAATGCTCCCTCTCTTCAAGTTCGGCTTTCTGGTGCTTTCTTGAAGCAATTAGGGGAGAGCACAACGCACTCGATCACACTCAAATGCAAGTGTATGAACCACACTAAAGTCTATTTATTCATGTCTTACTGTCACGTAGGGCAAGTACGGCATGTGGATTCCGTTCCTGTTTCTTGGTGTGCTGGCGGCGACTGCTGGCATCTCTTCGGCATGGCTTCCAGAGACATACGGCTATGCCCTCTGCCAGACCATTGAAGATGCGGAAGATTTCGGAAAGAATCGCAAGTTTTTCTCTTTACATCTGTAAGTATTGTGACCTGGTGAATGTTGACTTTTATTTTGTTTTGTGCGCCTTTCTTAGCTTAAACATTAAATGCGTAATCACTAGTTATACAGGGCGTACGGAGGTAAACAAAAAACAACATGACCAAACTTGCCGGGGGATTATGTTGCTTTCGATTGGCTATTGATTTGCTTGTTTTTGAGGACCCGCAGTGAGTAGCGCAAACTTAGAAAGGCTTACCACCGAAAACAAACTGTGGTACCTTCCGAAATTTACTTACACGGGACCGACATGGCTTCCCGATCTCTTGAGTGAAAAGGAAGAGCACTTGTTCCTCAAGGAAATGAGAAATCTGCCGAAGGTATCGTGGCCGTATCTTCAAGACGACCTATTTGAGCCACCTGGTTCATATACCTGAGAATAACTTAAAACCTACACGTCCTTAAACGCGTTCAACAACTTCGTGAAGAGCAAGGCATCGGCGATGGGCACCTACATCCCCCAAGCGCCGATGATACGTGCCTAGCTTTCTCGCGGGAGTCACCGACCTTCCCCGCAGGGGCAGGACAATCTTCCGAAAGTGTTTATTACGCTTCCTTCAGCGCGACGCGAATGCCTGCAATTACCGCTATTTTAGGGTTTTGACTACCTTACTTTGGTATTCAACGCTCCCTTCCCAGAGCACCGTGTGAGCTGGCATCTGCACGTACCACAATGGCAAAGTTGGCACCTGTCATTGTTCGGAGATGGTCGGTCAAGGCGCAGCTGGCGCGGTATCCTCGCGTTTGTCGCGTTGCACCATCTGTCGGCAGCACATCGAAGTAGGCGCGTATCGACTGCTTACCTGCGATCACCGAAGCTCGGCGGCGTCAGTGGCGTCCCTCATCTCGACATAATCGAAAGGACTTTACTTGTTACATATTATTCGTGCCGGTGCGCATCTGCAACTTAAAAACACAAGACTGGGGCATTTCTAGGGCGTACTTCTCGCGCAATAGACCTTTTCCAAAATTCAGTCTGGCCACCTTGACCACTATCATCATCATCTGAAAAATGGCATATGTGCCGTACTAATGGCGGCCTTCTGTTTACTGATGAAGGAACATGTTGAAGATACTCCTAAGCTGATGATTCCAGGCCTATACATTCGAGACGTTAGCACGTTGCGAAGCAGGAATTGAATGCAAGAGCTGCGTAATCGTTCATTTCTATACATCGGGCCCAGTCAATCTGTTAGTAGCACAGAATCAACTTCAAAGCGCCTTGATGTATAAAACTTTATCAAGGCGTCTATCTGGGTTTGCGCTTCGTTCCGACTGGTTGCATTTTTGTGGCCATCGACACTGAACGAGATGATTGAGAAAGAAATATACAGTGAAGAGCACAATCTTTTTGCCGTTGATTTGAGAAAGTGACGGTGCCCCATAAATTACTGCAGGCTACAGATTCAATGCCGCCATTAGTACGGTAAAATTTAAGCTTCCATTTCAGCCACCAGATGGCACTGAATTTGGGAAAGGGTCTATTGCTCGCTATCAAGCCAAGAGTCGTCGCGCACCCAACCCAAACACAAGGTAAACGTAGCAGAACCGGAAGTGTCTCTCCCCCCTATCATGGCGGCCGGAAATGGCGCGTACACCCTGTATAGGTACTGTCGCTGCCTTCTAGTACATGGCACCTGCTCCGCATCTGCGACTGACGTGTTAGCCACTACTTAATTTGTGGTCCCTTAACATCCGCCTCGTGACGTCACACTTGGCTCATTTAGTCGCTGGTGGCGATGTCGGTGGTGGTGCAGCCGCGGATGCGGATGCCGCAGACGCCTGTTCTGCTGTAGGTTTCTGAGCAGTCATAGCCACTTGACACAAACTGTAGTCACGGAGAGCTTATAAAATTATTATGTTCAAGTTTTTTGCTTTCCGAGTCGCTCGTCGGAGCTCTTCTGGGTTGATGCCGCAGTCTTACTCGCTTCTGAGCAATGAGAAGGTGCTCAAGGCTCGCCACAACCTGCGTTTCTTAAATTGTCAATGACGACAACTACGCCGGGTCAATGCTCTGCGACGACAACACTTTGTGTCCACTCACCTTCACCGCCAGCACTTCTACAACCAACTGCCATGATGGCGACAAGCGACGAAATGAGCCGATTGCCCCCGTGTCGTATTTACTTGCCACTTTGGGACCGTTTTCGATGTTGGGTGGCGTGTAGGTCACTACTCGTAAATAAAGCACTCGAAAAATGTGTCCCAAACACATGTACTTCTGCGATTTGTTTAGGACAAAGAGACCACGGTTCTGTAGATTGCGATGGGGCGACGGCTCAATTATTTTAACTGTTCGTGGCAGTCTGCTTCTAAGGATAGCGAGTGGCACTCGAACTTGCAATTAACGGCGTTCAAATTGCGGACGGTCGATCAGGGTACGTCCAACGGATATTCCTCCGTTTCCGCGAATGCACGTGTCATTATCATGCTGGGTTATTCGTATTCCTCAAATGACTCGCGAATTATAAAACAAATGCCAAAACCTTCGAGCGCATAGGTTCAAAAGAGTGTTGGCGGTAACGCATTACGTATAACGGCATTACCGGTAACGCGGTAAATTTTTTTTTGTAACGTGGTAGCGCACAACTTGCAGTTTATTTTTCAAAACAGTAACGTGTAACATACTTACCTTACTTACTTCAAGTAACGGGTAACATGTTATTTTACTCGTTACAACTTCTTCCCAAAACTTAAAAGGAAATAACACTTTTTTTTGTGTTTCTTGGCGCCAAGTCATATGAATTATTTCACTCATCAGACGTAGCTTCAAAATTTATGCAATGCAAGAAGTGCTTGGCAGGAGGGTTCCTGACAACAACACATGCTATGGGTCTGCAAGAGTCTGGAGAAACTTAGACAAGACGCATGGGCCTCGCTAACGAGTGAGGCCAAACCAAATAATTCAGAAGCCGGGGCCCACCCAAAAGGACAGGCACAACACATAAAGCAAATACTGGATTCACTGATACGTTTTATCAGAACATCCGGGCTCCATAAATTCATCTAACCTAATCATCATCATAATCCTCTCTCCCTACAACCCTCACAACCCCCTCCCTCCTGCCTCAGGTTCACGAGACCATAGGCAGGCGAAATTTCTCATCAAAATGACACGATTTCAAACAATCGATCTTCAAAATTTATGACAAAGTGTTTCTTGAAATGAGGCACTTATGCATACCTGCAACGTCAAGGCAGTAGAACATTTTCCTCACAAATAAAAATAATGACTTCTGAATCTGGATCACCAACAAAAGGGCTAAAAGTACGTCTTTCAAATGTCGCTTCGTTTTTTTTTTTTGTTTTTTTTTTTTCTGTTTTTCAGGGTGAAGGACCGCAAGGGCTACAATGACAAGGAGGAAAAACCAAAAGAGTTGAAACCTTTAGGAGACGACGCCGACGCAAAAACATGAGAATCCAGGCAATTGAGTCATCGTTCCCAGTCATCAATGTTTTAGCATCACACTATTTCGAATCATTGTAAATGTCAGGAACAATCGCATTACCGCAATGAGAATTTTTTTTTTAGCTTTTTGAAAGTGATTAATTTCGTTTAGTGTAGAGAGAATGACCATCGCTACATATTCCTTTGGAGGCGAACATATTTTTACATCATTATCATTGCTCAACGCTCATACTTGGCTTAACTCATGCGCGACATTAGTTTTAAGAAAGCCTACGTAAAATCCCGTAAGGGCACCCTCCCCCGTAAAATCGCCCATCCAGTTTTTTTTTTTTTTTTTTGAGGGGGGGGGGTTAAATATCTAAAACATCAAAAAAAAACGAAATGTTGCCCACCCCCTATCCCCGTCGGACATCACGTGATGTCCGATGGGCGTGACCTGCGGTACCGGCACGTCTGACGAGGGAGTTTCCACCGGGTTCACGCGTTTTTGTTCGTGATCTGCGCGTGGGATATCAGTTCATGTGACGTGCAACTTGATGCTGCGTGTTTATTGCATCGTAAAATGCAAGCCTGCTGCGTCCGCGATCCGCTGTATTTGTTCCCGTGGCATGCGCGTTCATAGTGGGTTCCCGCGTTTTTGTCCACAATCTGCGCAAGCGATATCGGTTCCCGAGACGTACGAGTTGTCCCGAATGTTTGTTGTACCGTGAAATACAAATCTGCTCCATCCGCGATTTGCGGCATCGGCTCCCATAACTTGCGAGTTCGCGGCAGGTGCCCGCGTAATTTTCGCGCCGTGTACTGTGTTTGCAAGATTCTAACGCACATTTGTTTTTCCGCCAAAAAGGTGCCCAAAATCACATTCGCGTTACAATCGAAACCAAAAATCGAGGCTCAAGAAAAACTCAATACTCGGTATAAGGTGGCTAGCCCCCTCGCCATAGTAACCGTATGTTTACATTCGCGATTTTGGTATTCGTATCGCGCGCATTCTTTCGCGTCTACGGACTCGTGTCCGCCTTTTTAAGATGGAAAAGAAAATCCACTCAGAGGCTTTATTTAAACTAAAGGCGGTCAGTCTGGCGGAAAAGATAACAACGGAGCAGCACGGCGTAGGCTCCCAATCCCAGCGTCCCGACGATCCCGCGAAGTGTTGCTTGGAAGACGACCCTCCCAGAGGGGACGGTCGCGCACTTGTACGTGCGCAAGAAGCGCGGCACTTAAAACGCTTTAGACGAAAGCAGAGATCACCTCTGTGGCAAGCGAGGAACCATCGTCGGTCTCTCACAACGGCGTCTAGTGCACGGCATTTATTCTTGTGTGGGTGTTCGTTTCATACAACCCCTTCTATGAAATATTTGTTCAATCTTCAGCATTTTACCTGTGCCGTGGAATCGGACACAATTTACTTTCTGAATATCTGAAAGCTAAATCTGACTGCGCGTTATAGAATCCGTGGCGCGTTAGAATCGTGCAGACATAGTGAAGCGAGTCTGCTGCGTCCGAAGCCCCTTTTACTATGACACAGGATGTCGTAGCAAGTTACCGCGTGTTTATCGCACCATAAAAATAACATCTGCAGCGTCCGCATTCTGCGGTATTAGTTCCCGTTTTATGTGAGTTGTAGCGGTGCCTTATCACCTTTTCTTATACATTTTTGCTGTCCCATCCCCAAAGATAGCCCACCCCATGTTTTTCCCAATTTACTGCTTCATTTTGGGTGGGCGTCCTTACGGGATTTTACGGTACGTGCTTCCACATCGGCGCGGACACCGAGTCATTCCGCAATTTCCAAAGCGCAACAACCAAAGAAGACCCGGGAGTCATATTTCTTCAGCGGCTAGTTGCGTGATAGTCACTGTGTTGACCGAATTACCACTGGAATAAGTCTGGAGACCGTGTGCCACACTTGTACCAAAAGCAGCCGTAGGTGGTTAAACGAATAGGGTGATAACAATAACCCACAGCGGCATCCAAAGTCACATCCGCCGAATCAATAGATCGTTAAACAACGCGGACGTAACTTACGGCGAATAAAGTCGCCGTCCCGATGTTACCGGCGCAGCAGCAATAAATTGTGTGATCCACAACAACCGTGCCGTTGGATTATCGGCCATGTGACAACCGAAGATTATTCGATGAGAGCCCCAAAGAAACGAAGTAGAAAGCCTTAAAGATAATAAGAAATAAAGGGCGTGGCCTACTGTGCTCAGTCTTCTTCTTTTTTCGTGTATGTGTGTTATTTGTCGGCTAATTACGCACTTTTAATAGCTGTCGAAAAGTAATTAGATGCTCGGTAACTCGGTTACTGTCAGTAACTATCGAACTTTTTGTTTTTATTCGTGTTGCGTTCCAGTCTGTCAGACATGGCGCTCATAGTCCGGGTTTGCACCAATTATGTTTTCACTCGTTGAGGAAACAAAAACTCGAACTGCGGGGCCTCCTTATAGCATCGTAGGTTGTGTACAGTGTGACTCAACGACAATAGACCGATCTTATCAGCAATTGCGCGACGCCACCGGTGCCGCGGTGTATTCTGGAACCTTTAATTCTCCCCGGTTTTCCGGCCGCGTCAGTGCAGGTTGTACATCCGGCGTTTGGAAATGTTCGGGTTATAGCGCGAGTCTTTTAATCGGGTGTTTATACTCACGGTTTTCAATTGGTGGCATCACCCGTTGTGTGCCAGGTTGCTACAATAACAGCAAAAAGGCAACGGCTCGCGTCGAGCGTTCTTTTTATTTTTTTATATCTGTTGTCCCGTGACACTACCCGCTGGAGTAACTCGGATCGATTTGGGTAAGATATGGAACACAGCCCGAGAATCGACCCGCCGATATCGACTCGCGCATCACCCGCAGCGTTAACGTCGGTGGTCGCTTTTCGCATGTCGCTAGTCGCTCTCGTCACTGTCGCTAGTCGGCAGTGTGAATTCGCCTTAAGATCCCCTTAAGGGGAGGGTAAAAAACTTAAGCCTATCGTTTTTACTTCTCAAGAACTGCGGAGTGGCATCAATGCCGCAAATACTCTCTACCCCACAAAAAAAAAAAAAAACACAAACTCGTTTTTTTTTTTTTTTTAGGAAAACTCTAAAAGAGTACAGTCAGGATTTCAAATTTTACTGGTCCATTCTGCCAATCAATTCTTAAGAGTTCGTGATCCCCATCAGCATTAAGCTCTCTTACAAAAGATCGACTCTAACTCTTCCAGCCTGCATGAGGGACAAGCAGCTATAAAATCGGACATACAAACCATACTGGAAAGACAAAAAGAGCTGGATAGCGCCCTTTCCTCACTCGACAGCAGGATTGCCTCAATCGAAAGCGAGATATCCTATATTGGTCAGGCTAAATACGCCATAAACGACTTAGAGGACACGCTGAATGTACAGGTTGCTACTACCTCGAATTTATTGAGTCGTATTGACAGCCTAGAAAATCATTCGCGTCGTTGCAACCTTCTTTTTTACGGAATGCCGGATGACGCTGGGGACTCATGGGAGACGTCCGAGCAAAATATAATCACCGTCGTGAAAGACAGACTTGGTGTCGCCTTGGGAAACGCTGATATTAAACGGGCTCACAGAGTGGGTGGTTATCGAGAAGGAAAAATTAGGCCAATAATTGTGAAATTCGCCTCATTTAAATTAAAAAACCAGTTGCTTCTTTGTGGCCATAAGTTGAAGGGCTCCCCCTACTCGTTGTCGGAGGACTACTCGCCGAATGTTCGAACTGCGCGGAAGTTTCTTCTCGACTTTGCCAGGGCGCGGAACGTATCATTCAAGCTTCGTTTCGACAAGTTGCACATTGGTTCCAGGACTTACAGTTATGATTCTCAGTCTCTGTCCGTAAAAGAAATCCCCAGATAGGACGCGCCGGGGGGTGGCTTTCTTCATAACCAAAAATCAAGTTGCGGTATTAATGTATTGTACACGAACGCACGTAGTATCCTGAATAAACCGACGATATATGTTCTCTTATTTCTTCGTGTAATGCTAACGTCATCGTCTGAACTGAGACGTGGCTATCACCTGGAATTGAAGATAGTGAGATATTTCCTGAGCACCCTAATCTGGTTATTTACCGGCGTGACAGGGAGGATCAACGTGGAGGCGGTGTCCTTATCGGGGTCGATGAAAGTAATGAAAGCACCCTTGTCCCGATTGCTTCGTGCCTCGAAATGGTCTGGGTACGAAACAATGCAGTTTCAAACCTATTTTGGTAGGCGTTTGTTATCGACCTCCTTCGGAATCCCATTCGTTCACCAGCCGTCTGCACGACGACTTGTCTACCCTGTTCGCTCTCTATCCGGCGCACCCTGTTTTTTTATTCGGTGACTAATTTTCCATGCGTTAACTGGAACTCTGCGGTCCCCGTTTGTCCTAAAGGGAATGGTTTGTGCAAAGACTTCCTTGACATGTGTTTGGATTTTAATCTTTTTCAACTTGTGTCCGTTCCTACTAGGGTGACGGATTCCTGTTCTAGTATTTTAGATCTCGTGCTAACTACTCATCCCGGTTTTGTAGGATCACCTCTAACCTGTTTTGATGGCGTGAGCGATCATCGGGTAATTTACTGCCCTATATGCGTGGAAATCCAGAAACCGTTGCGCGTTCAAAAGAGTATACGGCTGTATGAGAAAGGGAATTATGAGCAGCTCTGCAACAGTCTGTCCGAATATTTTGTGTCTTTTAATACTAATTTTGAGAGTAGAAGTGTGGACGTAAACTGGTGTCTCTTTAAAGATAAATTATGTGATTTAGTGGAAAAATATATACCTTGTATTGATATAACAACGAAGTCTTCGAATCCATGGTTTAATCGCAGCCTCAAATCGCTACGCAATAAAAAGCAAAGGCTCTTTCGAGTTGCCCGTCGAGCCGGTACGCCCGAATCATTGCAGAGCTATGAGGACTGCGCTAACATTTACAAAATTGAGTTGAATAGATGTAAAGACAGTTTTTATCGTACGACTTTGCCATCATTATTGATTGCCAATCCGCAGCGTTTTTTGGAATGTTGTTCGCCCAAAAGACGAGTGTTCGTTACAACTTGTTTCAAATTCAGGGGGCCCTGTCCCAGTGAACTTGTGCGCTAATGTGCTGAATGATGTTTTTTCTAAAGTGTTCTCCCGTTCAGACCTCATTACTGTTTCCCCTCCCGTCTCCAGTATATCGTTCCCAATGGATCCTATTCTTATTGATTACGATGGAATCGTAAACGTTATTAAATCCTTAAAAGTTTCTTCGTCATGTGGAATTGACAGCGTAAACTCCAAGATTCTCCGTAACACTAATCTAACGTCTAGCCTTTTTTTAACAAAAAACTTTCGTCAATCTCTGGAGACGGGAGTCGTGCCTGAGGACTGGAAGTTTGGGAAGGTCATTCCGGTCTACAAGAGCGGTAGTAGGTCATCACCAGCCAACTATAGACCGATATCTCTTACCTGCATCTCGTCTAAAATAATGGAACACATCATCTTCAAGCATTTGGTTTCATTCCTGGATTCTAACTCTTTTTTCAGTGACGTGCAGCACGGTTTTCGCCGTAATTTTTCTTGTGAAACACAGCTTCTTCATCTGACTAATGACTTGTTTTTGAATGTCGACTCCGGATACCCCACTATCGCTGTATTTCTCGATTTCGCTAACGCATTTGATAAAGTACCTCATAAACTTCTACTTCTCAAACTTTCCACGCTAAATATTGACGCTCATGTACTAATCTGGATTGAATCATTTCTTTCTCAACGCCGTCAATACATCTACGCTAACAATGCCTCGTCTCACGTCTCTGCTGTTTCTTCTGGTGTTCCTCAAGGCACCGTGCTTGGACCGCTACTTTTTCTCATTTATATTAACGACCTCCCATTGCGTATCACCTCTGTTATTCGCCTGTTTGCTGACGATTGCGTTGTTTACCGTAAGATTACTACTCAAGATGACCTTCTAATTTTGCAAGCTGACCTTCTCAAAATAACCGACTGGTGCCAGAATTGGAAAATGTCTCTCAATACTGACAAATGTAAGTGCATGCGTTTTTCTAATTCATTAGCAGAAACTAATCCTACGCTACTTTTGGATGGGACTATACTCGAATATACAGACCACTATAAATACCTCGACGTGCATCTTTCACCTAACCTCTCTTGGAATACTCATATTAACAACATTGTACAATCTGCTAATCGAAGTTTAGGCTACATCCGTCGAAATTTTATATCTGTTCCCAATAACCTTAAGCGCCTCCTGTACGTTACTCTTGTCCGTCCCAATTTAGAATAAGCGTCTTCAATTTGGCATCCTCATCAATCAACGCTAACTGATTTAATTGAATCTGTTCAGAGTCGTGCTGCACGCTTCATTTTTTCTGATTATTCCCGTTTTTCGAGTGTCTCGTTAATGAAAGCTCACCTTGACCTTCCGCTATTATCTTCACGTCGTAGGATCTCTCGCCTTTGTCTTCTTCACAAGGTATTTTATACGCCCATCTTTAAACAATCTCTCTTAAACCCCCCATCATACATCTCGGCTAGAATTGACCATCCTTGTAAGATCGCCCGCCCACAATGCTTCACCCTCGCACACCAGAAGGCGCTCTTACCATCTGCGATTGTGGACTGGAATGACCTCCCCGAGAACCTCATCGGCATCACCGACAGTGGAAGATTTCGGGACGCCATCACCAACTACTTCATGTAAACCCACTCCCATCTGTAACGCCACTTGTGGCCCTGAGGGTATTATAAATAAATAAATGAATAAAAAGTGATATGTCACTTTGTGTTTAATCACACTGCATGTCTTCGCAGTCGTCATCACTTGAAATCGTGGACCTTTTCCGAATCACGTTTTTTTCTTCTTTTTTTCTTTTTTTTCTTTCTTTTTTTTTGCCTAAGATGTTTTGTGACATTTCATTTTGACCTGTGCAGTTTCTTTTCTTTTTTTCTTTTCAAGACCATTTCCTTTTTTATCTTTTCTCCGATTTTGTGTTCAATCTTAAATGTATATTGTTAAAAAAAGTAATTATTTTAATGTATTATGAGCCTGTACCACGTAAGTACAATACATACTTCCTTTTTTTGCATGCCAATTGCACAGTTTTATAGTATATTACTCTTTTTAAAGCTTAAACTTTTTTGTGTCATTTGTTTAATTTGATTGAATTAAATATTGCATACATGTCTTTCACTATAATCGACTTTGGTTTTTAATGAATAAATAGATTTAAATTATTTACTCTTTCAGGCAATATAATATCTGAAATATCAAATACGAGGCCTTTCAGCAAGTAA